GTACAAATATGCAAATATGATATATAAATATATATAAGTCGTAGCCGATGAAGGATTTCAGCCGAAGAAGTCTCAGACTTCTTCGGCTAGCCGATTAAGTCTCAAAAATGAAATCTTGAGCTATGTATTGACTCAAGTCAATACCACAAACTCAAGCTCTCTAAAAGGCGCTTAAAAGCTAAAAACGCATTCGTAAAGAGTGCGCATTTTATCATATTGTAAACAAAGGCTATAAAAGGGCCATTTTCGTCATTCGTCAGCGTCATTCGTGACTAAAGAATTTTTGGGGCTCCAAACGTTCCGAATATTTCCATTAGATGATCGACAACTTCAAATTGTTTTTTCCTTTGCAATGCCCGCAAAATGACGAACTTTGTGAAATGATCCTGGTAGACCATCAAAAACTTGAATTCTCCATCGGCTAGCCGAAGAAGTCTGAGACTTCTTCGGCTGAAATCCTTCATCGGCTACGACATATATATCCAAATCGAGATACAGAGATTTTTGTTGAACACAAAAAAATGCATTTCATTTCGTTTTTCATTTGACACTTCGACATGCCCAAGTGTGCCCAAATAACTTACTCGTTGCCCAAGTGTGCCCAAATAACTTACTCGTTGCCCAATTGAAGTAAGTAACATTTGATCCGTCTGCATATTTCCATGTACTATTCCCTCGTCGCTCCACTCCAATATAGCTATTGTCGTTGGGGAAATCTGTAGTGAAGTCAAAAAATCGACACAAAGGATAATTATAAGGATAATTTTAAGCAAATTTATAGTAAACAGCAGAAACTTAAGAGGAAGCTACGTTTTTTTTGTCAAAATTATTCAGACCTGTAAATCCAAGGACATAATTGTTCTCAAAAGCATTTTGTAATTTAGCTGGAATCCGCCATAAGATGCACATATATCGACAGCTTCTCGATAGTAGTTAGCTGGAAATTTGTACGAAGATGTACAGCGGAAATTAGAGTGGACTAGGTTTCAAATCTTTTACGCTTTTTTTACCAATACTTTTGGCTTTAGTTTACCGTAAATGTTATCGTTTTCAAACTTAAACAGTAACTAAATAAAACAAGTAAATACAACCTCGTGAAAGTAATAATGTTAGATGAATGTTTGAACTTGACTGAAGATTGTAATGTCTATCTCAAACTTTGACTGAGCTTTGAGATACAAGTTTATTGTGGTTGTTTTATTGTTGAATCATGACCAAAATGAAGACAGTCTATAGAAACAGTAACTATGAAACCTCATGAAAGTAACAATGTTAGGTGAATGTTTTATAAGATTATCAAGCAAGTATGATTAATAGAGAACTGTATTTACCCCAATCTGCAGAAAAGCATTTGTCCTCATTCGTGAACTGTTTGCTGTCATCAGGACATCGTTGGACAGTCGTTGAAGTTAGAAGGAGAAAACTTTTCACCAGAAATAGTTGAAACCAAACTTGCATTTTGAAGCGATTTGGTGAGAAGAAATAGAATCATTTTATAGGCGGCTCTTATCACTCCTGGCTTTATTTCTTTCGAGTACTTTATGACGAATTATCGCGAAATTAAAACATGTTTTGTTGGGTTTAGACTGGTTTTTATATTTTGTGATTGAATGCTTTCTTGGTGTTTGCATGTTTTCTGTCGACTTTCAATTCCAATACAATCGTCGTTCACTTTTGTTGCTGTTGGTATCATGGGAATTATTTGCCTCACTATTTATGTAATTCCCGACAAATTTATCAACTTGAAGTAACAACTGGTGATGGCCGGATAAGTGAGAGACTGAGTGAGAGACTTTTACAGTAACTCAAATTTCAGCTTATCCCTTGGAAACAATCGCCTTCTCTTCGGGCCTCGAGTTGGTGCCGTCGCGCTATCGGTTGAGCACGATTTGTCTCGTCTTTTCGTTCAACAGTATCTTGTATGGAATTGCGTTATTATCCCGTTAATCCATGTGTTTTTTAGATGTTTTTTCTGAATTTCCACGCATTGATCAAGAAAGAAGCAACACTGTATTTCACATTCCGTGTGCCTAATCAAGATAATGTAAATCATGACCTTTCAGTCAGTGATCAAGTCATCAAAGATAGCATTGAAAATTTCTTCGTGATACAACTTACGGATTGCGAGGAGTCAAAAATTGAATTTCCATGGTTTTTCGTGGATTTATTTCATTTTTACTATAATGCTTTATTGAAGACTAAAATCAAAACTATTTGTATTTATTATGGTGGTGCTGATGATGGCTTTGATGGGATGGATCAACGAAATATCATCGCCCAGGAATCACGAGCAAAAACCCTGAGGCTGCTATTTACATTTATTTAGATAGATTTGATTTCACGAGGGATCTGTCACAATATACAGGAATGCAACGAATCGAAGGAGAGAATCATCTTCCCTTTTCAACCAAGCAAACAATCGTGCGAAGAATATTCTAGAAGACGATTTATTTGATTCGCAAAGGCAAGTGTACCGTCGACATATTGATCAAGGATTGCACTATGCACACCAAAACAGGACATTCTGGGCCTGCTACGTCCCAGTTGAAAAATGATGATTCTTTGATGATTTGATCTGTAGTTGATTCATTTATGCATAAAGCTATTGCCATTTCTTCTGGTAACTTTTTTATTTGATAAGTTTTCCTTCATTTTATTTTTCTCTAAATAAAATATTGTATTCTTTTACGAATGGACTAGTGATGATTGGAAGAAGAAAGACAGCGCACAAAGCAAGTCGTTGTAGGTAGCGATTCCTAACTATGATTACACAATTGCACAGTGTGAAGAGCTGGTACAAGTCCAACGCAAGAAAAGAAAAATTGTAGAGAGTGAAGAATAAATTACTTCTATTCAAATTCAATGACTAGCAAAATTCAAATTTAAATTTAAATTTAAATTCGGATTTGTTAAATGAATGAATGATAAGTCTGAATTTAAGCGCTCAATTTCTCAAATCTCAAGAGTTCGGAATTCTTTTGGGTAATTGTTTAAAACTCTTTAAAACTCTACAGGGTGCGCCATAATTACCCGCACATCGTCTCATCGAAGTTTCGGGAATTTTTAGATCTTTTGCTAAGCCTCGAATGCTCTTTCTTGGATTTCGTTGGATTGGTTTCTTGACGATTTTCTAGAGCTTTCTATTTTCCTGTTGGGCATGACAGTCATTTTTCTTCCTGTTCTTGGACGGTCCTTAAGCATTCCCACGTGCGATAGCATCATAAACCGTACGCCGAGGCAGTTGGAGTCGTCGAATGGTGTCGGGTGGAGAAGCGCCCGATGAAGATCGAGTCTCGCCCCCAACTTGCCGATGGTTTCACCATTTTACGTTCACCTAAAAACTTCAAATGAATTACGAAATAAAACAGATAGAAGAACTACAAAAGAATATTGTCCAGTAAAAACAGAGGGGAAAAAATCACTTTTAACAATGTGGGCTTGCCTATAAAATATTGTGCGGGTAATTGTGGCACACCTTGTAAACAACTCTTTTTCCTTTCGAACAGATAATACTATAAACGGAGCTTCTTTTCCTGAAGTTCGATATTTTAGAGATTGCAACAGCTTATGAAATTAAGCAGAGAGCAATGTTTTTTATAGCGGATGGATATGAAAAGAATGTGATAAAACGGAGAAAGCAAAGTCGAAATCAAAAACTTTTTCTTTATTCATTTCTTTATTTCAAAAAGGTTCTAAATAATTTCTAAATAATAATCCTTTTTCGAATCTTCTTCTCGAATCATTGTCACATCGGTGTTTATCGAATCGATTTCATCAAAATTTCCCTTTTCTTGCATAAATTGATTTCGACTGAAATTTAGTGGATAAAATTTTCAAATTTTGGAAATTATTGAAAACTTACAGTAAAAAGAAACGGTAAAAAAGGCTAAGAATGAGACTGTGGGTGCACAAATAGAAAATGATGATCGCCACACCAAGGATTTCCACTGAAAAGTTCTAATTATAAAACGAAAAATCTCGGCTTATTTTGGGTATTCTCTTCGTTTTTCTTATTTTTAAAGATTAGCTTTAACTTAAAACTTAACTAGTTTTTTAAAAGTTTGATTTAAAACCGACGTATACTATCCTTTTTCGAGGTATTCGAATCCTTTTCCCCTTCCTTTTTTTCTGCACTGATAAAGAGTAAAAGGAGAGATGCTCCCCAAAGCAAAGTCTGAAAAAAAACTTCATTTATAGAAAAATAAAAAATCTATTTGACGAAAAGTAGGATTAAGCCAAGAGTCAGTTTATCCTCAGTGCTTGAACTGGTCAAATCTGGCTTAAAAATGAGCAGTGAACCAAAGCCTTGCATTGCTCTGGCTACCTAGCTCCCTCTTTTGCATAAATTATCTAGAATAGAAAATATGTGATAACCTAGAACCAAAGATGGTCTGAGCCAATTCACCATTTTCATAACTTTAACCCAACCCGACCCGATCCAGAGACTTTTCTCTTTCTTCGAACCCGAGCAGAATGGAGCCAGTTGAACGAGGGAATGGTACTAGGTCGAATGAGCTTTTCCAATTAAGATCTAGTCTATCTAATGCAGTTTTTTTACGCTGATTCCGAATCCGGTTTGAGTTTTTGCAAAACGCATCGGAAAGATATTTGGCAAACAAGTTTTAGCTATCTCCATCTAAGGCCATCTTATGGAAGTCTTCTTTGGAAAGGTCACGGTGACCTAGTGTCATTCCTCGTAAGTCCTAGACCAAAAATAGTAATTTGCTTGACTTTGGCTTGTCCTGGTCTAGAAAGGCTTTAAGAAGTAGGCCTAAATAGATTCAGTAAAGATTTACACTGATAAGATGAAGAAATCTGGTGAGGAGAGGTTTCCACAGAGTGTGACTGCCGACGAAAGCGCAAACGATTGAGAAGAAGTTTAACGAGAAGAAACACATCTGAAATCATCAAGGATTTAGATTAGACTTTAGAAAGTTCACTTCTTTTCTGCAGATCCTCAATTTCTACAGTTAAAATCCATTGTTTTAACTTACAGCAGTATTGGAAAGGAGTTCATTCGTGTCACTTGGGTAAAGCCATTCAAGTAAAGAACCTACAAAGATCACCAAATAAATTCCAGATTGGAAAGCCCAAAAAGAGCGAAAAATTGTCTGAAAGAGAGATTTTTTCAAACAATAACGAGTTTTATATTAACCAGAAGTGAAAATCGACGTGAATCCGACGAATTGAAGCCCTCAGATTGTATTGGAGTCAATTTTTGATTGATTAGAACCAAAAACATTTAAAATTTAGTGATTTTTTGCTGTAAATTAGAAATAGAACAAGAAATTCGGCTTTTGAACTCATTTTTTATCTTTTCTTTTTGTCTAAAACTGTATTTTTTGCGTCATCAGACCATGTTTTCTTTGAGAAACCAAAAATAAAAATTTCTTAATGAAAATGATTTCATTTTCAGCTTATTTTCTTTTTTTTATTTCATTTATAATATATAAATGGTAAAAGTTTAATGTTTTCTACCAAAAAAACGAAGAGAATACCCAAAATAAGCCGAGATTTTTCGTTTTATAATTAGAACTTTTCAGTGGAAATCCTTGGTGTGGCGATCATCATTTTCTATTTGTGCACCCACAGTCTCATTCTTAGCCTTTTTTACCGTTTCTTTTTACTGTAAGTTTTCAATAATTTCCAAAATTTGAAAATTTTATCCACTAAATTTCAGTCGAAATCAATTTATGCAAGAAAAGGGAAATTTTGATGAAATCGATTCGATAAACACCGATGTGACAATGATTCGAGAAGAAGATTCGAAAAAGGATTATTATTTAGAAATTATTTAGAACCTTTTTGAAATAAAGAAATGAATAAAGAAAAAGTTTTTGATTTCGACTTTGCTTTCTCCGTTTTATCACATTCTTTTCATATCCATCCGCTATAAAAAACATTGCTCTCTGCTTAATTTCATAAGCTGTTGCAATCTCTAAAATATCGAACTTCAGGAAAAGAAGCTCCGTTTATAGTATTATCTGTTCGAAAGGAAAAAGAGTTGTTTACAAGGTGTGCCACAATTACCCGCACAATATTTTATAGGCAAGCCCACATTGTTAAAAGTGATTTTTTCCCCTCTGTTTTTACTGGACAATATTCTTTTGTAGTTCTTCTATCTGTTTTATTTCGTAATTCATTTGAAGTTTTTAGGTGAACGTAAAATGGTGAAACCATCGGCAAGTTGGGGGGGGGGGGCGAGACTCGATCTTCATCAAAAGGGCGCTTCTCCACCCGACACCATTCGACGACTCCAACTGCCTCGGCGTACGGTTTATGATGCTATCGCACGTGGAATGCTTAAGGACCGTCCAAGAACAGGAAGAAAAATGACTGTCATGCCCAACAGGAAAATAGAAAGCTCTAGAAAATCGTCAAGAAACCAATCCAACGAAATCCAAGAAAGAGCATTCGAGGCTTAGCAAAAGATCTAAAAATTCCCGAAACTTCGATGAGACGATGTGCGGGTAATTATGGCGCACCCTGTAGAGTTTTAAAGAGTTTTAAACAATTACCCAAAAGAATTCCGAACTCTTGAGATTTGAGAAATTGAGCGCTTAAATTCAGACTTATCATTCATTCATTTAACAAATCCGAATTTAAATTTAAATTTAAATTTGAATTTTGCTAGTCATTGAATTTGAATAGAAGTAATTTATTCTTCACTCTCTACAATTTTTCTTTTCTTGCGTTGGACTTGTACCAGCTCTTCACACTGTGCAATTGTGTAATCATAGTTAGGGAATCGCTACCTACAACGACTTGCTTTGTGCGCTGTCTTTCTTCTTCCAATCATCACTAGTCCATTCGTAAAAGAATACAATATTTTATTTAGAGAAAAATAAAATGAAGGAAAACTTATCAAATAAAAAGTTACCAGAAGAAATGGCAATAGCTTTATGCATAAATGAATCAACTACAGATCAAATCATCAAAGAATCATCATTTTTCAACTGGGACGTAGCAGGCCCAGAATGTCCTGTTTTGGTGTGCATAGTGCAATCCTTGATCAATATGTCGACGGTACACTTGCCTTTGCGAATCAAATAAATCGTCTTCTAGAATATTCTTCGCACGATTGTTTGCTTGGTTGAAAAGGGAAGATGATTCTCTCCTTCGATTCGTTGCATTCCTGTATATTGTGACAGATCCCTCGTGAAATCAAATCTATCTAAATAAATGTAAATAGCAGCCTCAGGGTTTTTGCTCGTGATTCCCTGGGCGATGATATTTCGTTGATCCATCCCATCAAAGCCATCATCAGCACCACCATAATAAATACAAATAGTTTTGATTTTAGTCTTCAATAAAGCATTATAGTAAAAATGAAATAAATCCACGAAAAACCATGGAAATTCAATTTTTGACTCCTCGCAATCCGTAAGTTGTATCACGAAGAAATTTTCAATGCTATCTTTGATGACTTGATCACTGACTGAAAGGTCATGATTTACATTATCTTGATTAGGCACACGGAATGTGAAATACAGTGTTGCTTCTTTCTTGATCAATGCGTGGAAATTCAGAAAAAAAACATCTAAAAAACACATGGATTAACGGGATAATAACGCAATTCCATACAAGATACTGTTGAACGAAAAGACGAGACAAATCGTGCTCAACCGATAGCGCGACGGCACCAACTCGAGGCCCGAAGAGAAGGCGATTGTTTCAAGGGATAAGCTGAAATTTGAGTTACTGTAAAAGTCTCTCACTCAGTCTCTCACTTATCCGGCCATCACCAGTTGTTACTTCAAGTTGATAAATTTGTCGGGAATTACATAAATAGTGAGGCAAATAATTCCCATGATACCAACAGCAACAAAAGTGAACGACGATTGTATTGGAATTGAAAGTCGACAGAAAACATGCAAACACCAAGAAAGCATTCAATCACAAAATATAAAAACCAGTCTAAACCCAACAAAACATGTTTTAATTTCGCGATAATTCGTCATAAAGTACTCGAAAGAAATAAAGCCAGGAGTGATAAGAGCCGCCTATAAAATGATTCTATTTCTTCTCACCAAATCGCTTCAAAATGCAAGTTTGGTTTCAACTATTTCTGGTGAAAAGTTTTCTCCTTCTAACTTCAACGACTGTCCAACGATGTCCTGATGACAGCAAACAGTTCACGAATGAGGACAAATGCTTTTCTGCAGATTGGGGTAAATACAGTTCTCTATTAATCATACTTGCTTGATAATCTTATAAAACATTCACCTAACATTGTTACTTTCATGAGGTTTCATAGTTACTGTTTCTATAGACTGTCTTCATTTTGGTCATGATTCAACAATAAAACAACCACAATAAACTTGTATCTCAAAGCTCAGTCAAAGTTTGAGATAGACATTACAATCTTCAGTCAAGTTCAAACATTCATCTAACATTATTACTTTCACGAGGTTGTATTTACTTGTTTTATTTAGTTACTGTTTAAGTTTGAAAACGATAACATTTACGGTAAACTAAAGCCAAAAGTATTGGTAAAAAAGCGTAAAAAGATTTGAAACCTAGTCCACTCTAATTTCCGCTGTACATCTTCGTACAAATTTCCAGCTAACTACTATCGAGAAGCTGTCGATATATGTGCATCTTATGGCGGGATTCCAGCTAAATTACAAAATGCTTTTGAGAACAATTATGTCCTTGGATTTACAGGTCTGAATAATTTTGACAAAAAAAACGTAGCTTCCTCTTAAGTTTCTGCTGTTTACTATAAATTTGCTTAAAATTATCCTTATAATTATCCTTTGTGTCGATTTTTTGACTTCACTACAGATTTCCCCAACGACAATAGCTATATTGGAGTGGAGCGACGAGGGAATAGTACATGGAAATATGCAGACGGATCAAATGTTACTTACTTCAATTGGGCAACGAGTAAGTTATTTGGGCACACTTGGGCAACGAGTAAGTTATTTGGGCACACTTGGGCATGTCGAAGTGTCAAATGAAAAACGAAATGAAATGCATTTTTTGTGTTCAACAAAAATCTCTGTATCTCGATTTGGATATATATGTCGTAGCCGATGAAGGATTTCAGCCGAAGAAGTCTCAGACTTCTTCGGCTAGCCGATGGAGAATTCAAGTTTTTGATGGTCTACCAGGATCATTTCACAAAGTTCGTCATTTTGCGGGCATTGCAAAGGAAAAAACAATTTGAAGTTGTCGATCATCTAATGGAAATATTCGGAACGTTTGGAGCCCCAAAAATTCTTTAGTCACGAATGACGCTGACGAATGACGAAAATGGCCCTTTTATAGCCTTTGTTTACAATATGATAAAATGCGCACTCTTTACGAATGCGTTTTTAGCTTTTAAGCGCCTTTTAGAGAGCATTTCTGGGTGTTCGTTAAATCATGTGGAATCCCTAATACGGTTTAAACCCAAATGTATGCAATGTTCGAGTATTATTGTATGATCAACTGATAACTCTTCTGCTATTTTACAAAAACAAAGCCTTTTGTTGGTTTGAAAAATTTTGAGCAACTTGGCATTATTTTGCTGAGCTGCCGAACTCAATTTGTCTTCGAAGATTCATCCCCAGAACGGAATTTAACAAACCAGTTTGCACATGTCCGTAGTGAAGCTGATCCTTCCACATCAACATCCCCAATATTAACTGAACAATAGAGGCCCTTGTGTCCTTGAAGAAATTCGTACAACATAACTTGTCGCAGATCTCCAGGTCGTAGATCTTCAACAGTTAGAGAAAAGTATAATAAAAATTCCAAAAATAAATATGTCAAAAGTGAAAGTCTATTGTTTTTGCAAGGTTGTTCACTTATCTATTTTCCACAAACCCCTCTCCTTCATCTTTGTTTACATCTCTCGAATTTAATTTGAAAAAAAACGTGCCCAGTCATGTCTTACCATGAAATTTATCTTTGTGGACAAGTTTACAAGGAAATTACAGGGCTTATAGGGGCGGTCAATTGGGCTGTTTGCACGTACTCTGTATATGTATTCTTTGGTCGGTCGGCTATGAACTGTTTCGTCGATTTTAGTCTGCAAAAACTGAATGATCTGCACCAATCAACCAGGGTTGAATAGGCGATCAGTGTTTAGTTTAGCAATGAAGCTTTATTTCTGTACCTCACGTCATTTCTCGCCTATCGTTCTGTTTAACAAGCGACAATGCACAGGATATACACTAACCCAACTATTTTTTGAAAAGAAATTCAAAGAAAGAAAATAAATTTTACCAGAAACTTTATCAATAATTTGTAGCA